TTAGCTCTAGTAACTATAGCCTGTGTACGCCGGCTATAGTTACTAGAGCTAACCGGACCGTACCAAGGGTATGTTCTGGCAGTACCCAGGGAGACATAGACCCTATCAGCAGTGCTACTAGTAGTAGTACTAGTAACTAGTAGTTGTAGTAGGCCTACTCCCCCGTCACCTCGTATTTGTAATTATGAATATTGGTTTTTAAAGTCCAACTTTAAGGGACTATATCGGAGACAGAAAGTGGCAAAGTTGATCAAATAGATAGATCAACAATGCGGACCGTAGGCCTAGTAGGAAAAGCCTCCCGCTAGGCTTTGCGCCCTGGATCAGCCGTGTAGCGGGAGCAAAGGGGCTACACTGGTAGAACTATAAAGCTAGGATTAATGTAACCTAAGCATTGACAGACCTCGCATATAGACCAGGCTGTGATGATAAGTCCAAATCAGTCATACTGTGTTTTTACAGCTTAGTGTATACGTCTCTAAATTGATCAAGTTTATTTCAATATAAATTTGTGTATTACTATTAGGGCAGGTTATGACACATAATTGACTCCAATTAGTAAATGTATGCAATCACCTCTCAACCCCTCCCCCATCCATCCATAGATGACATGCCTTCTAAAATTCCTGCGTAGACACTAGACCGCTATCTTTCCTTATTGCGAGAGGGTGTGCAGCAGGGAAATTTCAAAGTGGGGAGAAGACTATCTTAGCTTTAGCATCAACCTATGTATATAGAATTTTATACAAATACATTCTTTTAGGCTATAATACATACCTGAACATCTAGAAGTCCATAACCATCCATTTGCAAGTTCTTCCAACAAGCAGTAAAATGAGGTATATAAAAAGCATAAAAACAACCTAAAAATTTAATCAAGTATTTGTCATATATCATAAAGTATGTTATTTGTAAAATAAATTTGTTACTTAACTCAAAATCATCAAAATATCGCTTTTAAATTTGCAGGTCTTCCACAATACACAGAGCAAGCAAATGGTCTGGAGGAAAGGGCTGTTGCATGTATAAAGAGTGGTTTTGCTCTTATATCCTGTTTACAATGGTTGACATGAAATGACATGTTATTCCTATGATCATTATATAAATGTACAGAGTTCGTGTAGATAGAAAAATATATCTTGAAATAAGCTTTGATATAATCATAAACATTTACTTTAAAGTTGCATTGCTCTTTTTATTTTATTGTTATTATATAAATAAATAACTGATGAGCTCAAGTTTCAGTTGAGTTTTCACGTAATCTATAGTTTCTTACTCTTCATGATGTTTCCCTAGGTCTAATAGGATTATGATATTTTAGGTGACGTTCCTGTATCAGTTTACCAGTATGATAAGATGTAATCATGGATTCGAGGAAATTATCCATCACAGTGGATGCCATAATGTTGCATGGGGATTTAATTCATATAACCCACCTGTATACAAGTACAATAACCCCAGGCAACCATCTGAGATACGGTCGGATGTCATACAAAGTGACAGGGTATGCAGGACTATTGCTCAGGTAGGTTAGCTGTCAATTTTAAAAGTTGTTTTAGGTCCCAGTCTTCTATACAGCTAGTTCTGTTTGTGACACACACTGTTTTGCTAACACCATGGCAATAAGCATGAGGGTATTTGGGGATACACTCAAGGTTTTATGCAAAATTTCATTGATTTTTCATTTTCATTCTTATGCGATGGCTAACACTATACATGTGGCCACCTCTGCCCATGCTTACTTCTCCGTATACTGATGCATGTGAACTTTCAGAGCATTTTGATTGCCCGCGTACGTGTGTAGTGAGCTGTGTCTTTAAACACACATTTACTGATGACGTCAGACATGATCCAGCCAGCCTGTTCACTGTGTTTATTATGCCAGAGTCTATCAGCCTCAACCCTCCTACAGCCGTCAACTATCAGTGATATTTGAAATCATTGCGCAGTTGAAAATAGCATTTATACCTTGCTACATGGGCCCTCGCTTGTTGACACATAGCTTAGTGACGTCATGTCGTATGCAGCGTTCACGCGTTTCGCATCAAATTGCAATTGGTAACCTCATACTTTCTCATAATTTCTCAAGGTGCACAGAACATTTTAGTGGTTACAGTTAGTCATATAAGTCTATCACTGTGAAAAGTAGAAAAATGCTGATTTCTCCGTTTTGATTTCTGCCAGAGTAACCGATGTATAAATAGATATTTCTAAGTCGTTACAACTCGGAATAATTTAATTTTACGGTCGTTAATTACAATTGTAACATCGCTGTTAAAAAGTCTGTCAGGGTTTGATATTAACTAGTTAGCGTCTAGCTTTCATGAGTTATGGTTCTTTATTTGCATAAATATTCAATGCAACTTAAATTTTATGCAGATTTTTTTATGGTAAATATGAAACTTAAATAAAAAATCCTGATGCGCAATTTTTCGTGCAGATGGTGCTTAACTTGTGGCGAAAATTTCGCTTTCACATTCATTGTGGTAATTGAGAAATGTCAAAAATACCATTTTTATATAACGTTCAAAATTTTTGTTGTTGCATAATTAGGTGCTCGAAATTTCATGAAATGTGTTGGCTTGAGCATAGTGATACATCTCATCTATAAATAAAACGTGAAATTCGATTCATTGGTCCATAAACTCATCATTAGAGCAATATCTGTGCAAATGCTTGAGTGTATCCTTAATTCGTATATGTGCATGTAGATAATATCCAAGTGTCAATTACTTGTAAAAAATACTGCATTATCTTCATGCATTTTTGCACTAAGTATGAAACTGGGATGTGTTAGATAATAAGCAATGGGTAGACTGGCAGATATGTAAAGCTTGGTCGACTCTTTCAGCTCAGTGAGAGGGAGGGAAAATCTGAGACAGAGCTACGGCAAGAAGCAGAGGAAATTATCAGTGAAATGGGCCATGAGAAAGGCATGGCAGCCATCAGAGTGTTCGCTATCGCTCTTACCAATACTTGGCGTCACATGTATCGAGGCATATATGTGAACAAAGGGAACATTCTAAAGGTAGGGCATCTAATAGTTTACTTGATTGATACAATGTGCTCTTACTTTTTATTGAATTTTATTTAATGAGTTTCAGAGGAGGGCTACACATGTAAGGTTGTGTAGCATACACACAAATCCACTTGTTTAATGTATGATTATAATTATTAAAAATTGATTTAAGAAATTATGCTAGATGTAGGTAAGCAAACTAAATTAGTGTACAAGTAACTGGTTAATTTACATTACAAATGGCATTTTTTATAACACCGTTGCGGTTGGCATTATATTGAAGCTGCAAATATCAATCCAGTTTAACATATGGGATTTCTTGTTAATGTTCCATTTAGGAACATGGTGCTTCAGTTTCTTACGTGGTGTTACTTACACAGTTATATTTGCAAACCATGATATTAAAAATACCACTAAACGCACACGTATTAATAAATGTTATTACAGGTTCGGGAGCTGTGTAAGGATCATCCTGTCGTGTTCATGCCATGTCATCGTAGCTACATGGACTTCTTGCTTATGTCCTACATCTGCTATGCTTATGATCTACCCTGTCCTGTCATCACAGCTGGAATGGGTAATGTGTTGCATAAAAGTGATAGAAATATAAATGGTAATTCATAACCAAGAAGAGCCTGAGTGAGAGAGTTGGAAGAAAAGGATAATGATGTATCAAGAGGTAGAAGGGGTGGATTAGTTTGATAAGGGGTGATTGTTAGTTTGATAAAGACTTGAAAAAACAAAAACAAACAAAACAGTGTGCGCAATTATTATTTTTTTAATTCAGAAGTAGGTAATTATGTGTGAGAAAATGAAAGGAAAGTGCTATCACATTATAATCAGGAAAATCGGTCGTTAGTAGCATTCAAAAATAAGTCAAGTTGATTCATCTCCATCTGCTTACAAAGTTTATTCATTGAAACAGCTATTACCCGTGACTGATAAACACGGGCGAATAGCGATTTCATCCTCACTTTCAGATTTCATGGCAATGCAGGTGATAGGGTCATTGCTGCGCAGGTCCGGTGCATTCTTCATTCGTCGCTCGTTTGGCTCCGACTTATTGTACTGGGCCATCTTCACAGAATACGTGCAAACTCACCTGCGCAATGGTGACTCCCCCGTGGAGTTCTTCGTGGAGGGCACGCGCAGTCGTTCCCAAAAATCGCTTGCCCCCAAGCTGGGTAAGGAGTTGCATGAGCGTCGAATCCTCACTATGGTTTCACCCTGCAAATACGAACTTTAAGAAGGATGTATGAAGATGTAGCTCACCTTAGGAGTAGGCTAGGGATGAGTGATCCACCATATTGTGTTAAGCAATCAATGCCAATTAGTGTTTAGGCAGTATGTTATCTCAGTCGCTTTGATGGAATTATATTAAAACTACTAGATATTTTCACATTTGAAACTTACAATTAGTTCAAATGTGGTTTTGTTTGACAAGTTGTTCTTTGAAGATTATGACCGCACTTGCACAGTGTTATGTAGGAGCTGCAATTAGCTACAGTTATGCAAATCATTGGTATCAGCACATCTATGACATATGCACAATCTTGCAGGCTGTTTGACAGCAGTGCTGGAGACATATTTCAAGGCAGAGGTACCTGACCTTTACATTGTGCCAGTGGGCATCAGCTATGAACGCATTCTGGAAGAGAAACTCTACAGCTATGAGCTGCTTGGTGTTCCAAAACCCCGGGAATCGACATCTGTGAGTTTGCTAGTAGTCAGAGTCAGTGTCTTTTAGACTAATACTACTAATGGTTAATGTGGTATATTTATGGTAAAAAGAGAAAGATGTTATTGCATACGTTCAGTCTATACCAGTATGGTGTGTTTTGTACACACCTTCATTGCTATAAATTCTTAATGATATCTGGCAGTATTTCCGTAATAGTGTGTAAAGGGCATGCAGCGTCTTGTATTTGCAATTCCATTACCACTGACTGCATAAACTGGTTGTAATTCATGTGAAGTTTTTTGGTAGGGATTATGGAAGGCCAGGCACATTCTCTCAAGTGACTACGGAAGCATTCATGTGTCATTCGCCACTCCGATCTCGGTGCACGAATTTATGAAAGGACATGTGGACAGAAGCGTGCACAGTGTGCAGCCACGGTAGGTACTCTGCATGGTCAGCAGTCGGGTCATAAGTTACCTACAGATGGTCCGATGTTAAGAGTAACTGATGTGTGTTTGTGAGCACTGCAAAGATGAGTTGTTCTCGTTGGCCCTTCGAAACTGGTGCACTGCGCCATATAGTGGTTAGGTGGGTTACTGCTCGTGTCTTTTCAGGAAAAGGATGAAGGACGTCTACCAGAACTGTCTGGTGTGAGAGGTCATGCTCTGATTGGTGAAATTTAGATCGAATTAGGTCAGTAGTTAATGTGCGAAACAGCTTTGTTTATGGTGTGATCCAGTACATGTCACTTTTAAGTGAAAATGTGTATCTGTCTATCCTTTCATCAAGGTACATGTCAGCGTTGTCACAAAGGGAAATTGCTGCTGCACAGATAATGGCAGAGGAAGTACTGTTGCAACAGCAGAGGCAGATGGTATTGTCGCCATGGTCACTGGTAGCCACTCTGCTTCTGCATCATGGTGGATGCATACACATGAAGCAGCTCTGCACCGAGGTTCAGTGGTTAAAACAGTTGGCAGAGAACTTTGGAAGTCGTGTGGACTGGCACGGTAAGCATTGCATAATTTTCAGTTTCAATAAAAGGCACAAATCTTTTGCACATATTGTAATTCGATGGGATAGTTGTAACATTGTGTTGTTATCATTATGTCATGTGAGAACATGGGAGGGTGTATACTCAGAAAATAAAATTGTTTGTGAATTAAATTAATTTATATAATTTTATCCACGTTACCCACTTTATACACATAGGAGCTGAGGATGGATCTGTAGAGAAGATGCTGAGAGATATCCTTCCTGTGTACAAAGACACGGTCACCCTCTCCACAGACTTGCACCTCCGTAGCAACCCTGTAGAGAAGGCAACGTCGGACCGAAAAGGGCTTGATTCTGCTACCATGGCAACAGCGGTGCAGCACATGATGCTGGCAATATATCGTAACCAACTGCTGCATGCATTTCTCCACACCGGTCTCATCTCTGTGGCTGTGATTGGATGTAGAAAAAACGTCCTTTGTACAGGTACTAGATGACACTTGTAATCACTGCTATTCTCAATAAAGTAATGTTTTCCCTTTATTTTATATTTGTAACGATTTATTGTGGTGATTTATTTGGAAAGTTTTATTTTGAGATAAAAGACAGCGAGAGAGAGAGTTATTTATTTAAGTTGATGTTGAAATATAAGGTGCCGGTATCAAATACTAAATGTCTGCTGTAGTGACTAGTACCTTTGTAACAGGAGTACGATAACATAATATTATATTAGTTCTGACTCGAAGACGTGGCAAAAGTTATGACTAAAATTAATAGTACAACCTAATGTTTTTTTTAAAAGGGCCCCCAGATAGCAGACACATCATGGAAAATTACTGTGTCCAACAGTACTGTACGACATGTCTGTATGTGAATATTTGCTCTTGCAGAGGAACTGTATGACCGCCACCTGTTTCTTCAGAAGCTTCTATGCAAAGAGTTTACCTTCAGCTCTACAAATAAAAAGAAGGTGCACTCCTTATAATTTGTTTCTATGGTGATTAAAATCAAGCTAAAGTTGCCGTATTATCGTATTTTGTTAACTTTACATGCAGTCTGACTAGGTTATGTGACAATTGAATAGACAGACATTTTGAGAAATCATCATTATGGTGCACACCTGTTTTGACCTCTATATGCCGTTATAATTTAGATGCAGACTAAATCTTATTTGTTACTTTTGTGCAGGAATTTGACCACGCATTCCTGTGCCTGCAGCATATAGGGGCAGTGTCTTTAAGTGATCATCAACTACACATAGCTCGATCAACTACCAAGACTACGATCTTTCTCCAGCGATTATTTCAGCCATTTCTCTTTGGATATTGGGTAATAAAATATTAATAGCATGATAGTGGGAGAAATGGGTGAGGGTGAATTACACAGGGAACATGTATGAGTAACACATTAATCGACAGTGAAAGAGATTAGGATTGAGATAAGGACTGAAAGTTTGTATAAGAACATTATTAACTGTTAACATTATTAAGTTGTGTCAGTTCTATGTAATTAGTAATTCACTATTTAGTTTACTTATTACGTATATATTGAAGGGGTCACCCCTGATACATTCAATCATGTAATACTCTGTCTCGGATTCTATTATATAAACGTTGTTTTGTTTGCAGCTGTTATTTGAGTACTTGGTTACGCACGGTGTTGAGTCTGGTAGCAGTGGGCAAGCAATGGCGATTGGGGCACAGACCCTAGGTGCACATCTGTTGCAGCAAGGCATACTATCTCATCCAGAAATTCTGTCACTGGAGATGCTTAGCAATGGTGTGAAGAGCCTGCTGGAGTGTGGCGCCATCTGTAGGCAGAGAAATAGGTAGGAATAGATTGGCCTATACTCCTCATGTTTATAGAAATATATACGATTATTTTTGCGTGTTGTTTCTCTCTTGCTTGTTATAATTATTCTCTGCGTCCCTAATATATCAAGTCAAAAAGTTGAAGCATTAGTTCTTTATTCTATTTACTAATCTAATTAGCAACAATTATTCTCTTTGTCTGTGTACAGAACCGGTGATATGATGCTTGTGCCAGACCGTACAGAAATCTTTCATCTGAAGAACGAACTTGGAAAAGTAATTCAGCTGCCCGTGTTGGATGCAAAAGGATTGGCTTTGCCATTAACACCTGCAAAACTCTAGTATGTATACTTTGCAGATGCAGTATCAGTACTGATAATGTATCACTGACATAATGCATATATATATATGTTCATGCTAGTATGTGGCTGCATCCACGGCTACAGGGGGGCAGTGTGGCTGAAGGGGTCGTTGTCGTATATGTAGTACCCGAGGAATCGGCGAGTATGTCGCCTACGCCTACTCCCTAACCCTAACCCTAACCCTATCCTTAACCCTAATCCTAACCCTATCCCTAACCCTAACCCTAACACCCTAACACCCTAACCCTAACCCTAACCATATCAGATAGTTACCTTGGGTACATATTATACGCCATTATATGACAACGACCCTTCGCGCGGCAGTGTGTAACGGTGCTTCCTGCACTTAGGTAACCTACGAATACCTACCTATAGATGGCATTCGTATATGTAGTAAGTTACACAATTTTATTTATAAAAGCGAAGCCAATGAATTTATGGCTACTGACTAATATTTCTATCTCTATCTTTCAATTTATGATGTAATAACATCAGGTGCTACTTTGTTTTACTGTATTTACCTATTGATGTTTTCACTAGTCACCCATAGATAAACAAAGTCTGTGCCAAAGAATAATATCTTGTGAAGTTCATATGTCTATTCATATGTGTAAACATCTAGTCGTATATTATAGGCAATCAGTATACCTGCAGAAATCATATAGTGGTTATGAACAACAATTTTATACGATTGCTTTTTAGCTCATCTGACATAGTCAGATGCAGCTTGTGAGATCCGTCCGGCGTAACTGGGTCATCCGGTGCGCTTCCAGTCAACAGTTGGGCGACAAGGTTGGACGGGGTTACAAGCTGGGGGTCAAAGTCAATGAGGTCAGGGAGGTGTAAAACAAGAGGCCGGGGGAAATTTCCTCCTTAACTTAGGTATAGGAGGCAAAGTGAGGCAGATTGCAGGCCCAAATCTAAAGCGGCGTTGACCTAGAGCTCGTGATAGTCGGCGTGGCGATAGCATCTGGTGTAGAAAAGCATAACTGGTGCCAGAATTGGGGAGGTCAACAGCGTCAACGAGGTCAATGGGCGAGCATGGGCAGATTATTGAGACAGTTTTGTGATTCAGCGGTGAAGTACCGTTTTATGGCTTTATTGAAGGACCATGGGGGAATGTGGCGTTCCTATGACGCTGCGAAGAGTAGTGTTTAGATACCTTTTGATCCCAAGAAGGAGGTTAAACAGTGGATTGACTTGACTGTTAAACAAAGGATGATGAGGAACTGGCTTTGGTGCTATTAGAGCCCCGTGCACCGTGAGCCTCCCCACCCTCCTTGCCACTCCAACCCACGCCCCCACAACACTACCGTCGGCCAAGAGCGCTCGAACGCATATCCATAATACGTTAATATAGCAGAAGTCATTAAACTACACAGCGTATCTTTATTAGTGTACTACCGCGAACGTATAGCGCAATCTAGTGCAACGCGGATTGGCGGGCCTGAGAAGCGGCACACTTGATTTGGTTGCCAGTGAGTTTATCAGAAGAATAGCCGGCTACAGTACACGCCAGTTGAGCGCTGTCGCTCTGCGGCACTTGTTATTATAATAAAATATCACAGTTTGAAGTCAATGCCTTTTAAAATACCCGATATTAAGTTCCAGTCCATTAAGAATTTGAAGCATTGTACTTTTTCTTTTTTCGTAGGTCGTGTTTTTGCGAGTTTGTGCTCTATTTTCTTTCTCTACTCTTGTTTAATCTGAACATTCCATTATACTGTTGTTACCAAGGGCTCGATTTTGACACAGCCCCGTGTATCGTCTAGTTTTTTGGGGCCAAATGTTTCTTGTTGATTGGCAGTTGTCTGGTCGCTATGTGATGAAGAGATGCTTGTGAGTTGTCTCTGTGTATGCATTCAGCTAAGATATCACGAGTTTCGTGATACTTTGCAAACGTTTGGACCCGTGTAGATACTGCCACGAACATGTCTATGGAGTAGTATAGATCAGTATTATGTCGTATTTTGGTTATCGCATGCGAATTTGGTTGCCGCTAGTGTAGCGCATAGCACTAATCATGTAGGTAGTGATTGATTCGTAATACATGCGGACTCATTCCATTCATATTATGTTCATGCTTAATGTGACACATCGTGCAGTAATCAACATTACTACACATACAGTGCTATGCCCATTGCATACTTCTGTCACACCCACGTTATTGCGAAGCTATTCCACCCATATCGCATCTCTATCCTCCTCCCTTCATGGTCCCATATGCTTTTATATACCTATATCGTCCCATGCTATCACATCTCCATATCGTTCTATCCTATCCCACCCTCAACGCACCATTTCACCACCCTCGACCAGTGGCGTCACAACATGATTGGGGGCCTGTAAGCAAAAATGGAATTGGGGCCCCAAACATGAATATTTTTTGATGGACCGTGCGCCTGCGAAGGGGGGTCTGGGGGGTCTCCCCCCCCCCCAGAAAATTTTGAAATCTAGACGCTCTAAAATGCTATTTCCAGCATTCTGAGGCTATTTTGATTTTGTTTTGATTTTTTCTATTTTAAATTTTTGTTTAATTGGGGGGGGGTACAGTTTGGGGCCCCTTTAGGCTGGGGGCCCGTAGCGTTTTGCTACGGCAGCCCTACGGCTGTGACGCCCCTGCCCTCAACACACCTTTTCAAACCCCCCACCCCAACCCAATCACAGCCTGGTCACACCCCATCACCAACCCTATCACACCATCATCATCCCCTCACCACCCTAATCACACTTTATCACCACCCTGATTACATGACCCATCCTACACCCATAGCACCTCATCTATAGTCAATCACACACCCATAGCACCTCATCTCCAGTCAATCGCACCCCCATAGCACCTCATCTCTAGTCAATCGCACCCCATAGCACCACATCTCCAGTCAATCACACCCCATAGCACCTCATCTCAAGTCAATCGCACCCCCATAGCACATCATCTCCAGTCAATCGTACCCCCATAGCACATCATCTCCAGTCAATCGTACCCCCATAGCACATCATCTCCAGTCAATCGTACCCCATAGCACCTCATCTCCAGTCAATCGTACCCCCATAGCACCTCATCTCCAGTCAATCGTACCCCCATAGCACCTCATCTCCAGTCAATCGTATCCCCCATAGCACCCCCATCACACACCTATCATCATCTCACAACACTTGTACAGCATCATGCAAATTGCGACTGTTAATGAATGCGAATCACGAGGATTAATCTGTTTATCTTATTATAGTATCAGTGTTAGAAAATGGCTGAGTCGTGACTGAGTGTTTCTGCTTTACGTTGATATGACTCTGGGTATCACCGATGTCATGATATTTATATACCGGACCATGAAACATATATACCTGTTGCTTGGGTTATATGTGGTTTTATTGTGTGAAATCCCGCCTAGCGGCAGTTGGCGATGTGCTTGCAGGCCAGTACGCCAGGTTTAGGAATGAACACACATTACGTGTTAATGGAAGCGATTATATGTATATCTGAGAAGCGATAGAGCTAATAAAATCCGAACATAGAGAAAAAATGTTTTTCTATTTTCATTTTGGTCGTGTGCTCTATGTTAATGTAACCGTTTAGTGCTTCCTGTTTCTCGCGCGCACTCTTCACATTTATAGACACGTTTCTCAGCCACGTTGCTAATGGTCCGAGTTTTATAGAGGTTTTCCTTCACCGCACCTGTCTGCCTGTCTGTCTGTCTGTCTGTCATCAGCGTTATGCCATAGCAATCTCCCTATTTAGTTTAAACACGCTTGGCGTAACGAGCTATATTTACACACTGCGCATCGTCATCATATATAATATATATGTGTATATATATATATATATATATGTGTGTGTATACATATATACTGTGCAGTGTGTCGTCTCCTGATCGATGTATAGGCCATTCTTCAGCGAGTGCAACTGTTGTCACACGATATAAGCCTAGTCTCGTCATTCAGTTGTGATCATATATATTCATGCTATCTTCGTAATGATCACATATATCACATAATTATATCAGGAGTGAATAATAATAGATCTATTATTATTCACTCCTGATTATATTCATCCTCGTCTTGCATCGCCAGGCCCGATTTTCCACGTGGTTAAAATTTGTCTCCGTTAAAACAGAGTAAATTATTTTAAGATACTATGAATGAAATATTCAGTAAAAAAATTCATCGGTTCACAACTGTATTCCCTACAGATATCTGGGGGTTATCCCTCCTCCTCTCTCCCTCCCCCTCTCTCACTATCTTTCTACCCCTCCCTCTTTCTTCGTCTCTCTCTATCTCTTTCTCCCTCATTCGCCGTCCCTATTTCTCCCTCTCTTTACTGCGGATTCACCGACCTATCCCATCCATAATTCTCGGGGCTGCTGCTATAATGTCAGCGCTCTATACATAATTATCTCTACGTCTCCGATGGGGTATGGTTTTTTCTAGATTCTTCATGAATCATCTTTCCGTCTTTGTTTTTGTTTTGTTTAAATGGTTCTCTACTCCTATGCTCTCACGTACATTTCATTCGTCATGTCCTGGTTTCTTCGCGTTTCCTTTCTTAAATGTTGCCGTATTTTCGTTGTTCTTCCCTTTTCATCCTGTACGTTCAAAATATGAGTAAGTCGTCGTTTAGCAAAAGTCGAACATTGAAATGTTTTGGTCATGGTCATGGTATGTAACATAAAAATAGGTAGCGTCAACACGAAATATATTCCTAAACTTCAAAGCTATCAAACGGTATTAGATGGTTAAAAACGCTATTTCCATTTACTCAAACCTTTGTCGAGATGAAAAACGGTGCTCCGTGCAACTTTTCGAAAAGGATAGCAAAACTAACCACCATGTGCAACAATTTAACTATGAAATACAGAAACAGAAACACTGTCAATAAAGTCCTATGTACATGATGCGCACATACCTGCTATACAGAGGATAGACAAAGAGGCCTGGTCAGCGCTGCCGGACAGTGTTCTACTGGACTAACTTTAAGGGCTTCGGTAAAGATAGTTGATGTGATAATCACAGTATCTCGCCACAGAATGGCTTCTCTTGTAGTATTGTTCGCGACATTGTATGAATGCCACTGAGCGGAATATTAAGTTTATCATTATGTTTTCTTTTTATGTTTTATGTTTTATGTTATGTTATATTAATAAGGTTTCAGAAAGAGCTATAGTTGGGGTTAGTGTTAGTGTTTGGTTTAA